CTTCCCCTGTCCGAACACCATCCACGGACCACACCCTCGGAATCCCTCAGGAAAATAGACAGACAACCAGCTCCTACTAAAACAGGAAGTCAACTCCTCTTTATTTTACACAAAACATGTTTTATACAGAGGGCGGGGAAACACATCCAGGAACAGGAACATACATCATCAGCCCACCCTCTCAGTGGGAAGGGCTACAGTATAGGCAGGAAACACCTCATCACCCCTCCCCATCCAACTAGACACAGAACAATGGGATGCAACCATGTGGCAAAGGACACAGACGTTTAAGCTCTGATGAAGAAGGGATCTCCCCTCGAAATGCGTGAGTTGAGCAAGAGTTTATCTCCCTTCTGGATGGAACTCGCACGTGTGGTCTCACCCTGTGTTGGTGTTGGATGTTATATGCCTTTTGTACTGCTACTCTTGTGAGTATAACTTATTAATAAATACATGAATTGTTTATTGAGGTAATGCGCAAGGTTTGTGCGCTCCTTTCTTTTGTTCTTTGCTTCTGAGCTGTGGCCAGACCCCACAACCCTTTCCTGGAGACCATACCTCTGGCTGTACTCTCTGTGTTGGATTAACCCTGCTCTGCCTGGACCCTTTGTCCTGCATGCTGGACCAATCCCTATTCTGCCTGAACCTTTTGCCCTTTGTGCTGGAATTAACCCTTTGTCTGCTGGAGTTCTGCCATCCCTGCTGTGTGCCAACCCTGTGCTGGAATTAACCCTTTGTCTGCTGGAGTTCTTCCATCCCTGCTGTGTGCCAACCCTGTGCTGAGGATTTAACCCTTTGTCTGCTGGAGTTCTGCCATCCTGTTGTGTGCTAACCCTGTGCTGAGGATTTAACCCCTTTGTCTGCTGAGAATTTAACCCTTCCATGCCATTCCTGTGTATGCTAACCCTGTGCTGAGGATTTAATTTAAACCCTTTGTCTGCTGGAGTTCTGCCATTCCTGTTGTATGTATGCAAACCCTGTGCTGAGGACCCTGTGCAGAGGATTAACCCTTTGTCTCCTGGAGTTCTGCCATTCCTGTGGTATGCAAACCCTGTGCTGAGGATTTAACCCTTTGTCTCCTGGTGTTCCGCCATTCCCAAACCCTGTGGTATGCAAACCCTGTGTATGCTGAGGATTTAACCCTTTGTCTCCTGGAGTTCTGCCATTCCTGTTGTATGCCAACCCTGTGCTGAGGATTTAACCCTTTGTCTGCCGGAGTTCTGCCATTCCTGTTGTATGCCAACCCTGTGCTGAGGATTTAACCCTTTGTTTGCTGGAGTTCTGCCATTCCCTCTGCTGTGTGCACAGACTGTTTGGAGTTCTGCCCCTCTGCTGTGGGACTTAACCTTTTTGTCTGCTGGAATTCTGCCAACCCTGTGGTATGGATTGAATTCCTTTGCCGGCCAGAGTTGTGCCCCCCACTGTGCCCCCATCCTGTGTGTAGACTTAACCCTTTGTCTAACAGAACTCTGCTCTACCAGTCATGTGCTCCTCTATGTGTTTCAATAAAAGCCTTGTGTGTACTCCTGCTCTCCGCGTGTGTTTCTGTTCCCCCCACACCTCCGTCACAGGGCCCCTCTATGTATTACTCAGGAGGAGTAGAAGAAAGTATTCTGGAGTGTAATTGTAAGTATACCTAAGCCGTGTGTGAGAAATAACTTGTTAAAATGAGAACTATGTGAAGAAAACATCTTTTATTTACTTGCTTCATTTTCAAAAAAAGTGACACAAAATTACAACTACAACAAAAATAGCCACAATTCTTACTAAAGACCCCGGAGTGTCTACTTTCCAAAAACGGGGTCATTTGGAGGGTGTTTGTACTGTCCTGGCATTTTAGGACCTCAAGAAATGTGACCGGCCTTCACAACATCTGGGTTGGTAACCTTGAAATACAGTGTATTTGCCATAGTTTGAAGACTCCATAACTTTCACACACACTAAAAAATATTTTTTTTTTACCAAAAACAAAAGTAGAGTAATATACTTTGGCCTACATTTAACAAGGAAGATTATTTATTTGTAAAGTTTTAGAGCAGAAACTAAGGGAAACTTTTTTTTCAAAATGTTAAGTAATTTCCTCTTTTCATAGAGAAAATACAAAAAAACAGTAATGATTAAATATCAGCAAAAGAAATGTCTATCTATCACAACACGGATATAAAATGAATTTAAGTGCAGTGTTGCATGACCAAGTAATTGTCAGTCAAAATGTCACGGTGCTGAAAACTGGAGAATGGCCTGGAGAGGAAGAAGGTTAAACATGCCAAATGGTTCAGTAAGAGACAAAAAACATTCAAATCAACTTCAACTGACACTTGTAAAGCAGTTCCAGCAACAGTTTTGTTCCTTTCTACAAAGGTTTAGACCATATGAATAAAAGCTGACAGTTGTATGCACCCCAGCAGTGTTATTTGATTTGTCTCAACCCCTCCAGCTGCCATTTTTAGGATGGTTTCCTTCCTTCAGGAAGTAGAAAAATAACGGCTCTACTGGCAGGATCAACAAGTCATAAAATGTTACAAGAAGGACTCAGAAAAACAACCACTTGAGTTTTAGCTGGGATAGTGGCTATTGGTCCCAGGGCCATATTAAAGCGGCACCGGTCTTACCAGATCCAGGTATTGGAGGCTCTGTAACAGCCGGCATTCAGCACTAAGCACACAAGCCGGAATCATCCCCCCCCCCCCCCCCCCCGGGCTTTCAATGTTTTAACAGATCGCTGCATAGGAGAACACTGTAAAAGCAACAAAAACAGAATTCTTTTGCACTGTATTTACATTAGGAGTGTAGTGACATCACAAGTGTTACCTAGAAAAACAAATAAAATATACGTATCCTCATTTTCTACCACATTAAAGCCCTCTGACATGATGAAAAACTGATGTATAATACATTTGGGTAGATTACAAATCCTAAAGGTGTAATGTGCTGAACTGGGACATCACCATAAGTGGTTCAGGACAGATTGCACCCTTTATGTGTAAATATTAATTCTAACCATAGTTACACTTTAGGGTCAACATCAGAATGTTTCTAGGGTCAAAAGAGGGTTCTTCACAAACAATATCTACCCAAAAAAAGAGAATTGACTATTCAGAGTCATTGAAGAGAACCCCCGAGTCAGAGGAATTTCAGTCCCCCAGAAGATGCAGTCGTAGTATGTGATCGGTCTATGGAGAGGAGCAATAGCTGAACAGAGAGACAATATAATAAGGAAGTCCAATCTTCTCCTGATGGAATCCCTTGGATTTGTGGCAGGACAAGATGGAACACAAGCAGCCAGCTGGGTGTAAGTGGTACTGTTGAACACATCCCAAACAAAGAGCAGTGAATTGGTGTTGGAAGGCCTACACCAGCTTAGGAATTTGATTTCTCACTGGACAGAGATTTCTCCATGGCTGTTGTCCCTGTTGCAGTCCTACCTGTAAAGCTGTCATCCATAAGAGGAGGAGGAACCTGGAAATAAGGCATTGATCATTGGAGGGGAGGTGGAATATGTGAAGGGAGGCATGGACAAGGTGAGCGTAGCTGGAGCCCTCAAGCTAGACGGATATTGGAATAGTCAGCAGAATCTAGAAAAGTCTCTCTCCCATGAGGCTTTGGAGGCTTGGTAAGATGCCACTTGACCACTACCTAGTCTTGGTGCTGAGGCAGTGTTGGTAAAGCATTAGCTCAGGATCTGACAATGAAGAAAACATTTGGGAACACAGCTCAGTTAATGAATGATGAAAATATATATTACATGTTCAGTCAAAGCTCCATAAAAAGGATAGAGATTTAAATCATTAGGAAACACAATTCACTGTTGATACTTGTCTGATGAAAATAGTCAAAAGGTAAAATAGTCTTGGGTTTCTACTCCTTTAAACCCCCCTTCTCCCCATTACCTCCTGCAGCTGAAGCCTGCGAATCCTCTGGTGTGTGATCAGCTGTGACGTATGTAAAAAAATCTGTGTTACACTCACAACACGGCTACGGCTTTTCTCTGGTGTGGACCCTCTTGTTTGTGTTAAGTTGTTCTCTCTGTGTAAAAGCTTTGCCACATTCAAAACACCGATATGGCCTCTCGCCAGTGTACTCCTCTGGTGTGTGATAAGATTTGACTTGTATTGTAGAATTGGAAGGCCTGCATCAGCTTGGGATGTTGTTTTCTCACTGAATAGACTTCTTTCTAGCTGCCGTCACAGCCGCAGACCTGCCTGAAAAGTTGTCGCCCATGAGAGATGAAATGTGGAAAGAAGGCATTGATAATGGGAGAGGAGATGGAACGTAATGGGAGGATTAGACAAGGTGGGCTTAGCTGGAGACCTCAAACCTGGCTGATGATGTATCAATAGTCAGAAGAACCTGGAATGGACTCTCCCACTGAGGCTTCAGAGACTTGGTAAGATGACAATAGACCCCATCCTAGTCTCTGGTACTGAGGCAGTGTTGGGCATGTTTTACCTCAGGATCCAGAAATGAAGAAAAATGCTTGGAAACACAACTCAGTTGGTGAATCATGAAAATGCATTACATGTTCATTCAAAGCTCCATATTAAAATATAAAGATGAGAATCATGAGGAAGATGTTCAGTTATTGATGCTTATCTTAAATAAATTGTCAAAAGGTAAAATATTCAAATCCCTTCTAGTTGTGTATTGATGGACATAAGCACTAAACTCAGTTCATCCGATCATTACATTCCAGTTTGCTCAGATTTTAGTTTTTGTTTCTTTTAAAGTAATATTTTATCTTCTCCCTTCTTCTCTAGCTTGTGGGATGACATTGGGGATGTGAAACTAACTTGTGACACCTGAAACTTCTTTAATATCACTTTTCTTCCAGAATATAATCTATGCTGAGATTTGAATCCTCTAATGATAAATTAGACCGGCATTAACTGTAAAGGTTTTGTGACATTGATAGCATTAAAATGATTTCTCTCCAGTGTGAATCCTCTGGTGTCTGATAAGACTTGACTTCTGTGTAAAAGCTTTATCACATTTTATCACATTCAGAACACTGATATGACTTCTCTCCAGTGTGAATCCTCTGGTGTGTGATAAGACTTGACTTCTGTGTAAAAGCTTTTCACATCACATTCAGAACACTGATATCGAACACTTCTCTCCAGTGTGAATCCTCTGGTGTCTGATAAGATGTGACTTCTGTGTAAAAGCTTTATCACATTCAGAACACTGATATGACTTCTCTCCAGTGTGAATCCTCTGGTGTATGAGAAGATTTGACTTCTCTGTAAAAGCTTTATCACATTCAGAACACTGATATGACTTCTCTCCAGTGTGAAACCTCTGGTGTTTGAGAAGATTTGACTTCTGTGTAAAAGCTTTATCACATTCAGAACACTGATATGGCTTCTCTCCAGTGTGAATCCTCTGGTGTCTGATAAGATTTGACTTCTCTGGAAAAGCTTTATCACATTCAGAACACTGATATGACTTCTCTCCAGTGGGAATCCTCTGGTGTGTGATAAGATCTGACTTCTGTGAAAAAGCTTTGTCACATTCAGAACACTGATATGACTTCTCTCCAGTGTGAATCCTCTGGTGTGTGTGAGAAGATGTGATTTCCGAGTAAAAGCTTTATCACATTCAGAACACTGATATGGCTTCTCTCCAGTGTGAATACTCTGGTGATTGATAAGAAGTGATTTCTGTATAAAAGCTTTATCACATTCAGAACACTGATATGGTTTCTCTCCAGTGTGAATCCTCTGGTGTGTGAGAAGATGTGACTTCCGAGTAAAAGCTTTATCACATTCAGAACACTGATATGGCTTCTTTCTAGTGTGAACTCGTTGGTGTACTGTAAGCTCGCACTTGCTTATAAAAGTTTTGTCACATTCAGAACAAGGATATGGCTTCCCTCCATTGTGAACCTTCTGATGTGTGATATATTTTCTCTCCATTGTAAAATCTCCAAACAAGTAGTTTGAAATGACTCCTCTTATGCATACGTAGTTTGGACTTTACTGTAAAGCCATTGTCACTTCCAGAACACTGAAATTACTTTTCTCCTGCTGGATCAATGTGGAAGAGGATCCAACCATGACTTTTAGAACACAGATATGACTTGCATCCCGTGTGAATCCTCCAGTGAACTGCAGTAAAGACTTTCAGTCAATTAAGACAACCATGTGTTTTATTTTCCATTGACTCATGTGACTCAGCTGTATTCATGAAGACCAAAATGTCCTAAAAACTTGGTTCATCAATCTACCTGTAGAGAAAGAAAAAAGATAGAATTCTATATAAAAGGGCTACAAAGTTTCTTTCTATTTTTAATGTTCATTACTAAATATATCTTATGAATAGAAAGAATATGTACAGCATTATCTACAGTATTTTTTAATCAAATAGATTTATTTAGAAAGTTTATAAGTGCGCACAGTATTCCCAACATTCAGCCCAGACAATGGAGTCATACATTCTCACGTATAGGCAGTTGTGGCACTGTTACAGATCATACAGAACAATAACTTGCTTTGTCTATGGTGTCACTTTTACCTTTTATAAACAAATGAACAGAGAAAAGAAGAAACAGCCTAGAACAATTCAGCTGTACACGGCAAGTAACTCCCCCCAGTACATACATAGATAGCTGACACCGATCAATGGGGCCCGTGTCTACAGGATCATACCCCAAGTATGGGCCCCCCATGTAGTCACCATTCAGTAGGATACAACTGGCCGTTCTCCTTCTATGGGCTAAAAAAGCTAAGATTTTAAAAGAAGAATAACTAGGAGAGAGCAAGGAGTATCCAGCCAGTTCTGCCAGACATACATCTCCTGGGGGAATTACAATGTTGGAGAGTTCATTTTTCACATGTTAATGTGGAGATCACCTGCTCAATCCACTGTTGTCTGCTGGGAGTTTGAGATGATAGCCAAGATCGGGATATTTTTTATGGTCAAGCAGCCTCACTATTGCTATATGACTTGTAATAGGAGGAGGTGTAAATAATTCCTCCTCTATTGACACCAAGAGGCACACCCGAGGGAATATTAATACCAACATTACAATACTAGTCATATTGTTCCACTTTTTGAATAATTTTGGACATCTCCAAAAGATGTATCAAATCCCCGACATCACCGCTACAATTGGGGTCATAAGGGGAAATCCCTCCTGTCCTAACTGAACAATTGAGCTGGAGTCCTGAAAGATCTATGCAAAAGAAATGACTGAGTTTCTGTGAAGAGGACAGAAAGATGAGAGGTATGGAGGTCACAATCACCTCCCACCACTCTCTATTATTTTCTCTGTCTGTTTCCCATTTCTTTCTATAACGGCTTATTTGATGGCTTCTTCTAAATGAGTTCCCCAAACTGGGAGTCTATACTGGAGAACCACTTACGAGGTGTCCACATGGGAGAATTGTGGAGTATATAGAGGAATTGTGGGGTCCATATCTTCTCTCTTTCATAGATTTTATTGGAAAGAGATAATAGTTTTACAAGGAGCTCATAACAATGTGATTGCAGGACTCACCAACAGTAAGTCAGAAGGGGTACAACCCTTAGAGGTAACGTACAGGTTGTAATTTGTACACTACAAATAATATCTTCATACATTAAAGTGGAGAGTTCCAGTGAAAATAAAAAAATAAGTCAGCTGCTACAAAAACTGTAGCTGCTGAGTTTTAAAAGACTGGCACTTGAGGGGCGTGTCCAAGATGGCGACTGGAGCGGCTGCACAATCCTAATCTCCGACGCCGACTTCTGTAATCCGCTGCCATCCGGGCAGCGGAGGAACACAGCAGGACAGCGGAGGCTCCCGGGGGTATCCCCTGCCCCTGAGAGAGGGGCCACATATATTATTTCCGCCATCTGCGACGGCGGACTTCCACGGCCTGGCGCGGCCGCATGTTCCAGGGCTCCAGTGTTGGCCTGCATAATCCGCTGCCATCCGGCAGCCACGGACCATAGCGGGGTGGCGGAGGCTCTTGGGCACATCTCCTTGCCCTGGGAGAGGGGCTCTGAGCGATATTACCGCCCTTGGTAACGGCGGACGTCCGAGGCCTGGCGCGGCCGCATGACCCGGGGCCTCGGCGGCAGGTGCCTACACCCATCCGAGCTGCAGAGGATTACTGAGGGCATTTTCTGCGCCCTCTGTGTCTGTGGGGGTGGCGCAGCTCAATATTTGCGTTCTCGTGGCACTGGACGTTCGTGGCCTGCTTCATCTATCACGGACCCCCTCTCATCCGGGTCACAGTGAGTACAGGGGGCTAAAGGGCTGACTGCCAATTGTCATCGGGTCCCCCCCCAGAGTTTCAGGGAACGGGGCTTCTATCTGCTGCCCCAAACACTACCTTCCTCTGTTATCACGGCCCCTGCTGGGCCCAGAGGCCTACTGAGGCCTATATAGTACTCCGGAGGGGTGTCGGGGCTCCCTGGATCCGCCCTGGAGGACCCGGAGCTCATCATTGGGGGACCTCTGTTCCACGCGTGCCCCTCATCCAACCCGGGCCCTGAGGTGGGAGCTGAAGCCATCATCCTGCTTCTGCAAGTCATTAATGCTATACCACGGCCTATGCCTTCTCCATGCCCTTACGGTTCGCTAAACGTTTTTACAATATAAAGTTTCTGCGGATAACCTTGTTAGCATCTATGTAACTACAATCCTAAACCTGTTTTGGGCGCTATAGCCCCCCTGGGGTTATTATCTCTTTAGGCTATCCAATTTTCAGTTGAACACCCCCAGGAGACTCCCTGTATGCCGTCCACCAAGAAAAAAAGGGGACAAGCTCAAAAGTCCCTCACGACATACCTACTTAAGACACACAAGATTTGCAGCATGTCTTCAGATAATACAGAACGAGCATCTCTGTCCGATCCCACGCAGGATACCACAGCTCCTTCATCGGCTCTGATTAATGCAGATACACAGCAACTCACAAAGGGGGACTTGTAATCTTGCCTGGAAATTATGTACACCAAGCTGGCCACTAAGTTCCAATCAGAATTACATAAAAGCACAAATGTTCTCTCTCAGGAAATCGCCGCATTGGGCTCCAGGACCGACCGCCGCTTGGAAACCAAACACGATGAGCTCAGCCTAGCCTATGGTGAACTTTCCAGAGATCATGATCATTTACAAATGGCCTTTTCACAACTGCAGGCGCAGGTTGAGGACCTAGATAATCTAATATAATAACCTGCGGGTCAGGGGAATACCGGAGTCTATGTTGGATCTCTCGCAAACCATTACAAGGTTTTCAAGTCACTCCTCCCAGATCGTGACCCTGGGTCCTTTGCTTGTGATCGCATCCATAGAGCCCTGCGTTCTAAACCTCCTATTGATAAACCACCTAGGGACATTGTTCTGTGTATGAAAGATTTTCTGACCAAAGAGGATATTCTTAGAGCAGCTCGAAATACCCCAACGTTCTCCTTCGATGGCTCGGTTTTGCAAATCTTTCCAGATGTTTCTCCGGCTACGTTGGAGAAATGCAGAAAAATGAAGGAAGTTACAACTGCCCTTTTCTCTGCCCGTATTCGTTACAAGTGGGGCTTCCCTTTTAAGCTGATAGTTCCACATAATGGGAGCACATATATAGCCACCTCCCTTCCCGAAGGCAGAGAAATCTTGGCCAAGCTGGGACTGGCGGATGCCCCATCACCTCACCGCCCATCCTCCACTCCTCGTGTCTCCCCTATTTGGCACACTCCATCCCCACGGAGGGATAGAAGAAGAGTCCGACAAGAACCGGGTTGACAGGACCTTGCTCACTTGTCTATTACTCATTATTTTGACAACCCTCAATCCTGATCCACAATTTACTATGACTGAGACAAACACCCGGGATATAGGGACTTTGCCCATTTGTACCTTTTTATACCTTAAGGATGTGCAATTTTGTGGTCACTGTTGTGCAGTTTCAGTGTTTCTGAGACCTATGTATGCTTTCTCATTGATAACTGGATGTGTTGAAACTTCACAAGGGTCTTTGGACCCTCTTAATATCGCCCATTAACTCATGGTTTCATAACCCCTAAACACGTTCCCCCACCTTGCCGCCTGACATGGCCGGAGGTGTCACTGCCAGATTGTGGGGTGGCAGCTCCATTTTCCATGTTTTGCGAAGGCAGGGTTATGGGCCCATTTGGCCCATTGAAGTTTGAAATCTATGTTTTTTTCAGGTATGGCATACTGCCTGCCTGATCCATGTTTTTCAGTTACCGTTATAATTATAGGAGCTATTAAAGCTTCATCTTTATTATTCTTTCACCTTTCTCTTTTCAAAACTTTCGTACATGATGTTGGATTCTTGCCGGCTTGTGGACGTCATGACCCCTGTATTGGGATCTGGATGTCCCCTATGCTGGTACTATTGCCTGTCAATCTGTCTGATGTAGACTCACGGGTCCTTGTGTCTAGCCGAATAATTCTGGGTGATGTTTTTGCAATGTGTATTTTTACGCTGATAACCACAACTTTTGTATGCTATGGCGATTCATTGTATTTTGCATAATGTCCACGGTTTCAACTCACCAAATAAGCGCAAAACAGCCTTTCTTCAATATAAGCGATTAGGGGCTAAAATTATTTTATTACAGGAAACACATTTTGCAGCTGCAAAACACCCGACATATTTTCATAAATCCTATAGGCAGGGGTATTATACTTTACATTCCTCCAAGAGCAGAGGAGTGGCTATCTTTTTACATAATTCATTCCCCTTTGAGGTCCAACATGTATATCGTGATCCGGACAGTAGGTTTATCATTCTTAAAGGCACCCTTTCAGGTCGAGAACTTACTATTGCAAATATCTATGCACCGAATTTGGCACAAGCGTCTTTTTTTTCAAACTTTTTTGACGTTCTAGATAGGTTCTTGTCCCCCCATCTATTGGTGGGTGGAGATTTTAACCTGGTAGCAAACCCTCTTTTGGACCGGAGCTCCT